TGTACATTTCGTCCATGTGTTAATTGATGATTATGGGATTTTACCATAATAAGTGGTGTTACAAGTTTTGGTGTAGTTCTCCTCAGTTGATATTGCTGACAAAATCTCAATCCTTCATAAAAAAATGTATCTGAGGAACTTTTTTGTCATTATGTGTTTTTGTAAAATTAATGAGTAAATGGCGTGTGAAGTGAATGCCTGGTCTTAAATGAGACAATGCAGTGACTAGTAACTACAAGATGACCTTGCTGTTGGAGAGATCTAGTCTTTAGGTTTTGTTTTACGGTACATCTGAATATATAATTTTCTCACATCCTTTTTAGAAGTGATACTGCAGTATGTAGTCTGGTTATCTAACAGTCATCTTCAGTAGATATATAATTATAAGAACTCTCACACGGTTCATTAGGAATTGTGGATCTCATGCTTCACTTGTAATTCTGAACATAATGTCTTGAGCTGTTTTTTTTTTTTTTTTATTGTGAACACTGCTTATATGCATTTAATTTCCTCTTTGTTAACAGGTAAATACAGAGAGAGCAATACGCCATGCGATACAGGAGCGGATACCTATTGTGGTTGTAATAAACAAGGTGATTATATAAATCTCAATTTTGTCATACGCGTGTCTCAGTGTTATCAAATGGCGGCCATGGCGGGATTTTGGCCTGCGGCAATTTACCGCCATTCACAACACTGCCGTTTCATTATTTTTTTTCTTCGCCATAGTGGTTTCTTCTTTAAAATGTACTTATTTATTTATCTATATATTTCATATAATCAGGTCGATAGATTGATAACAGAGCTGAAGTTACCCCCAAAAGATGCCTACCATAAGCTAAGGCACACGATTGAGGTCATAAACAGCCACATAACTGCGGCATCCTCTACTGCCGGCAATGTTCAAGTCATTGACCCGGCTGTTGGAAATGTTTGTTTCGCAAGTGCAACTGCAGGGTGGTCTTTCACTTTGCAGTCATTTGCTAAGCTATACGTTAAGCTGCATGGCGTCCCATTTGATGCTAACAAGTTTGCTTCTCGCCTTTGGGGTGATTATTATTATGATGCCGACACAAGAGGTTTCAAGAAGAAACAGCCGGCCAGTGGAGCCGACCGCTCCTTTGTCCAGTTTGTTCTCGAACCCCTTTACAAAATATACAGTCAAGTGATTGGCGAACACAAGAAGAGTGTGGAAGCTACACTCGCTGAACTTGGTGTGACTTTGAGTAACGCTGCTTACCGTTTGAATGTTAGGCCTCTGTTGAGATTAGCATGTAGCTCGGTTTTCGGTAGCGCCACTGGGTTTACAGACATGTTGGTTCACCACGTTCCATCTGCTAAAGATGCTGCACCTCGGAAAGTCGAGCACATCTACACTGGGCCTAAGGATTCCGCAATCTACTCGGCTATGGAGGATTGTAACCCCTCTGGACCTGTAATGGTTAACGTGACGAAACTTTATCCTAAATCCGATTGCAGTGTCTTTGACGCCTTTGGAAGGGTTTACAGTGGGGAAATCATGGCTGGACAAACTGTACGTGTGTTGGGAGAAGGGTATTCTCCGGAAGATGAGGAGGACATGACTGTAAAGGAGATAACAAAATTGTGGGTCTATCAGGCTCGTTACAGGATTCCCATAAGCAAGGCGCCACCTGGTTCTTGGGTTCTTATTGAAGGTGTGGATGCTTCCATTATGAAGACGGCCACACTTTGCAACGTCGAAACCGAGGAAGATGCCTTCATATTTAGGCCCCTCCAGTTCAACACACTTCCTGTGGTGAAAACGGCCACCGAGCCTCTAAATCCGAGTGAACTCCCAAAAATGGTTGAGGGTCTTAGGAAGATCAGCAAGAGTTATCCTCTTGCGATTACAAAGGTTGAAGAATCTGGGGAGCACACTATTTTAGGCACTGGAGAGTTGTATCTGGATTCCATAATGAAGGACCTCAGGGAGCTGTACTCGGAAGTGGAAGTGAAAGTACTTACTGTTTTATTTTGTGTTTTACGTTATTCTTTTTACTTAATGGTCTCTTCCACTATATTAAGACTTACAGGTTCATATTGTTGTTGATTTGTTTTCTGCATTTTCATCTGAATGTTGAATAGGTGGCGGATCCTGTTGTCTCATTCTGTGAAACGGTCGTGGAATCCTCTTCAATGAAGTGCTATGCAGAGACTCCAAACAAGAAAAACAAAATTACCATGGTAAGCTAGCAATTGAGTGCAGTTGATAAAAAATTTAGAACTAGAAATTATACTTATCTATTGGATCTCATTTTCCAGATTGCTGAGCCACTGGAAAGAGGACTTGCTGAGGACATTGAGAATGGCGTTGTAAATATTGACTGGCCGAGAAGGAAGCTTGGTGACTTTTTTCAGACGAAGTATGAGTGGGATCTGCTTGCTGCGCGCTCTATTTGGGCATTTGGTCCTGATAAGCAGGTGGTTTGTTATCTGTTTGTGTAGTAGTTTTCCGGTTCATTTTTTATTTCTCTACCCTTTTATTCCTTGAGAGTTCATATCTTAGCGCCTATCTATATTATCAGGGGCCCAATATTCTATTAGACGATACTCTGTCTGGTGAAGTGGATAAGGCCTTGCTCAATGCATGCAAAGACTCTATTGTTCAAGGGTAAGTTATTATATCCTCCAGCTCTTTGCATGTTCTGTGTTGCATAGTTGGATTAATATGAAATCTCGACAGGTTTCAATGGGGAGCTCGAGAAGGTCCCCTATGTGATGAGCCGATCAGAAACGTGAAATTCAAGATAGTTGACGCCAAAATTGCTCCTGAGCCGTTGAACCGTGGAACTGGGCAGATCATTCCAACGGCTCGACGTGTGGCCTATTCGGCTTTCCTCATGGCAACACCTAGGCTCATGGAGCCAGTATACTATGTGGAGGTAAGCTCTGCCGATCTTCATATCTTATCTAATTCGAAATAATAAAATACTTCCTCCTATTTTTAATAAGTGTCGTTTCGAGAAGTTGCACAATAATTAAGAATATTTTTTTTTGCCAATAATAACCCTCATTAATGAAGATAGAGATGGATGTTTTGAGAAAAGAGGAAGAGTGAATATGAAAAGACGTAGTGTAATTATTAGCTAAATGAGGGTAATAATGGAAAAATATGTACAAAAGATCCAAAACGTCATTTATTTGGTTAATGGTTGATAAATCTAAAATGACATTTAAAAAAAATAGGAGGTAGTATTNGTTCCATCAGGTTCTTAAGTGTTGGATGGCCAAAGATGGGATAAACTTTCTTAAGTGGAAAATAGTGAACAAAGAGTGCCTCTTTTTTTTGCTAATTTGTTCTGTAGCTTAAATTTTGTTATTTATTTATTTATTTATTTTTTCCAGATACAAACTCCATCAGATTGTGTTTCTGCAATATACACAGTGTTGTCTCGTAGACGTGGCCACGTCACCGCGGATGTTCCGCAACCTGGGACCCCAGCCTACATTGTTAAGGTGTGACACGTGCAATTATTCTTCTTAAGAACAATTATTCCTCTCAGATTGTGTATGTTCTAGTGTGATAATATCTTTATTAGTGACACATGTTTTGTTTTTCATTGTAGGCATTTTTACCTGTGATAGAGTCGTTTGGTTTTGAAACGGACCTGAGGTATCACACTCAGGGACAAGCTTTCTGCCAGTCGGTATTCGACCATTGGGCTATCGTCCCTGGAGACCCACTGGAAAAGAGTATAGTCCTGCGCCCATTGGAACCTGCCCCAATCCAGCATTTAGCTCGTGAGTTTATGGTCAAGACAAGGCGTCGTAAGGTATTACTCGCGGATCTTGTTACTCTGTTTTTTTTTTCCTCATCACTGTGAATATTGATCTTTTTCCTGTAAAGTCTTGTAAATAACTTTCGAACTTTTGCTTTTAAACTAATTCCTTCAGGGGTCCCTGTAACTG